ATATATATATATATATATATATACACATGCGAATATATACAATATCTTTATTACCATTCTATATTTTTCTTTATACTATTTATATTTCTTTTTCTAAGCATTGTGAATTGTGTGATTAATATGCATTTAATTTAATTATTGAATGCAATAATTTCAATCAAATATAGAAGGACTTGTTTGAAATTTTAAGAAACAAAAATGACATGGAAAATTATGGGCCCATTGGTACTTATGATTTATTCATCAATCGTGATAGATATTCTTTTTCTGATGATAACCATAATATCCTGGATATTATTAAAAACAAAAATGGAAGAATCCCAATCGATCATTTTGGTAAGTTGTAATATAATTTATACAAATGATATAAGTTAACGATATTGTATTGTTATAAATTAATTTATATCTATAAATTTCAAAAGAAATAAATTTTTATCAAAAAGAAATATTATCATTTTTTTAATAATAGTATTTTAATAAATGTTTTCATTGAATTAAAATAGAAAAAATAATGAATTATTGATCTTTTCTTCTTCTATTTATTTTTCTTATAATTTTTAATGCAAATGTTATGAGACTATTTTCTTAGAAATAACAGTTAATCGATATTAAACGTACACGTAAATCATTGATTTTTTCAAATTTTATTCTATAATTAAAATGGCTGAGCTAGCTGAAATAATTGCATCTTGTATCCTTGACGAATCTCCAAGGACGTAAATAATAGAACTTGTTCGACTTTAAAGTAACATTATTTTGATAGGTACACATAGGTATGAAAATCTCTATATTTAAATGTTAATAATTAATTTTTAATATTAAAAAAAATTACAAAATCAAATTAATCTTTCGTTTTATAAATAGTTAGAATAATGAAACAGAATAGGAAAAACAATGGATATAAAAAAAATGAATAATTTAATTTCAAAATAATAAGCAAGCAATATAAATATAATTTAATTGTTTTGTTAAATGTATAATTATTTTATAAAGAGAAAAGTATTTGTGAAAACAAATGTTTGAATATTAAGAACTAATCTAAACAAATCTTAACAATCAGATGTCCCTTCCCTACGTGTGAATATTTCCTCCCACTATTGCAGCTAAAGCGTTCACTTTTCTATAAAACCATGCACAACTGTAATTTCACCATCACTTTTTACACGTTTTACTGTTTTCATCTTACATATTTATACATTTTCGACATTTCTTTAAGGGTGTAGTGTTTTCTGTTGATATTTATTCATCGATTAATATTCATTTCAAATGTATCCATGATAAATGTAATAATTTAAATTTAATAGTTTATATCGATATAATCGATTGGAAAGAATTATAATTATGAAAATTAATTTTTGTGCTTATTATCAAAATCATTGTGGGAAGAAAAACAAAAAAAAATTCAATTGTTTCGAATAACATAAAGAAAAATTTAAATTAAATTCTGTCTGTGTTGATAATTAAAAAAAAAGAAATGAAAAATAAAAATTCAAATATGTTTACAAAATCATGGTTTTTCAATTTTTTTTTCTTATTGTTCTTTCTTCATACAATCCATAGTTCAACGATCTTGAAGAGAAGTAATAACGATGATTTCACACGTAAGTTTATAAATAACAGAATGTTAGAAGTTTAAAAATTTATTCACATGTATATTTTATATAAATAAATATTTTCTTATTAAAATATATTAATTTTATATACATTGTACAGTGTACCATATATCATATATAATATACATTTAAAAAATTTAGTTATGACTTGTCATCGAAAAGTACAACCTGGCAAGAAAATAATGGGATTATTCATTGAACGCATAATAAATTGTGAAAACCTACAAGATTGTTATCAGGCATGTGATTATGAAAAGACTTTCGTGTGTAAAGGTTTTAATCATAGGTATATCTATTATAAATATATTTTTTTTTCTTTTACTGACAAAGTATATATTTATATTAAAAATATTGTGTTAAAAATTATTTTTCATTTTTACATTATTGAGATTCGAAGAATATATAGTGAGAAAATCAAATATTTAATAAAATATTTTATAAAAATCAATAATTATCTCAGTCAGAATATATCATTATAAGTCAAGTATAATAGATCATAATAATATTTACTTATCATTCGAGGAGACACAATACTAATTCGAAATGTACGTGCGAACTGACGTCAACACCATATTCTTGTATGGATATTGATGAAGATTTCTCAATCGATTCTCATTATGATTACTATGAGAAGATTGAAAATTGCCCTTCTTCAACGTGGCGTGATAGTGGTATATCCCATTGGAAAGACCATATTAAAAATTATAAACAAAATGATGATCAAAATAGACGGTTTGGTCATGAGGGTAATATTCATCAAGAAACTTATTCATCTAATCGCGAATTAGCTAATGATTTTTCCAATGGTCCCTCACGTTCTGGCAAACAATCTCATTACGAAAATGGTAAATAATTCTGCATATGTATGTGTGTATGACAATTATGAAAGAAATCTGATTACAATATAATATATTGATATATTGTATAAGAATTTTTTTTTTTTTTACCTTTATTTCACACTATTTCTGAACTT